AGAGAGAGAGAGAGAGAGAGAGAGAGAGAGAGAGAGAGAGAGAGAGAGAGAAAGAAAGAAGGAAGGAAGGAAGGAAGGAAAGAAGGAAGGAAGGAAGGAAGGAAGGAAGGAAAGAAGGAAAGAAAGAGAGAGGGTGTTAATTCACGACCGCCCGAGTTTTCCCAGAATGCCGGCACGTTCCAGTGCCTTTGCTGTGGAGACTCTTCCAGAATATCTTATTCTAATCAAGGCAACGTTATCTACTGCGGGGCAGGTGTTCAACACACAATTTAATTGGGCCATTATTAAGATTCTGCATTTCCAAAATCTCTGAACAATACCCCCCGTGTGAGCCTCGGATGAATAATGAATTACCGAGCGGTGGGAAGAATGTTGAGAGCGTTTTGAAAACAAACTTGAAAGGGGCTGTCGAGTTAACGTGCGCAGAAAAAGGAACATCGCAGAAGGTAATCTATCAATAAAACCGGTCTCGGTGGGACTGAAGCAGACAAACAGCTCTATCCCCTGTCCCATGGAAGACTGATGGTCTGAACCCTTCCACCCCCTCCTTTCCAATGCTTGCCTCCCCCCCTTGCAGGGGGGGATCTAATAATCCAACCCTCACCACTTCCATTAGATTTCTAAACAGCTCAGCAGAAGGAACACTGAAGCCGCCTGCGATCGGAGAGACTTCTGCTCAAAAGCAACCGCACAGCCACGTCGTGCCTTGGGGACCCATGTGCAAAAGGTGCCGATGGGGCGTGTGCCCCACTGGAGCTGCCGAAAGTAGAGACCGACATTTTTGCTCCGAGCGCCTGCCCAAGGGGGCAGCTTCTCCCTCGGTGCTGAGCTTGCCCCCAACTCCAACTCTTCTCCTGACTCATTGGGTGCGCACTGCCCTGCAATGGTGACCCATGCTCTGGGTAGCTTCCCAGTTGGAATACCATAATGTGCTCTGTGTGGGGCTGCCCTTGAAGACAGTCTGGACGCTTCAGTTGGCTCAGAACAGAGCTGCCAGGATGTTAACGGGGACTGGCTGGTTTTCACACATAATGCTGGTCCTCTGTTGGTTGTACTGGCTGCCAATTGAAGTCCAGGCCCAATTTAAGGTGCTGGTGATGATCTATAAAGCCCTGAACGGCTTGGGTCCGGGATACCCGAAGGAGCGCCTTCTCCCCTGTGTACCCTCCCAGCCCTTGAGATCTGAGGCGGAGGTCCTTCTTCAGGAGCCCTCCTTGAAGGAGATCAGGAGGGTGGCTACCCGGAGAAGGGCCTTCTCTGTGGTAGTGCCCTGACTATGGAATACGCCCCCCAGAGAGGTTCGCCTGGCACCGACGTTATATTCATTTTGGCATCAGGAAAAACCCTTTTCATTTCCCTGCTATTTTAATGTTTAATTGATTTTACCTGGGGTTTTGGTATATCAATCGTCAGGTGCTGTGGGGTTTGGTTTATTCTACACATTTTTTGTACCCCATCCCGAGATGCCTGGAGTGGACGGTTAGAAAAGTGTTTACTAAATAAATAAATAAACTCCATCTTTCTGGAGAGGTTTGTCAAAATAGTAACCTGGACTCTCAGACAGGCGGCCGACCTTTTGGGACAAAGACAAGAGGACAGAGAAACGTGGCTGTCACTCCACGGCGTCAATGAAAAGGCAGAGCTAAGAAGAATCAGTTCAGGGCTGAGGGCTTCATTTTGGCCCTGCTGGAAGTGGGGCTATTTCAGGTTTGTGGTTGGGGGGGATCTCCTCCCCCTCCCCTCCTCATCTACCAGAGTAAGCAGAAATGCAGTTCTTTTTAGCGTAATTCAGAAGCGCTGAAGTGGAGGACAAGTTGCCACCAGTCAGTACGTACTCAGCACTCCCCTCGGTGCCGGTTGTGCTAGAGGTAAAACAGGCATGAGTCCGTATATGTTGAGCTAGAAATGCACCCCAAAGTTTCCAGGGGTGTGGCTGGCCAGAGGATGGTGGGCGTTGGATTAAGCACGTGCTGGATCATGCCCTTTCCAGCAAGGATAGAGTAGGCTCACCCCTCCTGAAATCCCTGGATAGTTTGGCTCCCCTGAATGGGCAAATTGCCCTTCATTCATTGCTTGCAAATGAGCGACATCTTCACTTCCCACTTTAATATTCATTCCTATTTAATAGAAATGATTTGCTTAAAAGCCCAGGATGTGCACGGAACTATTTTTTAAAAGCAAATTCCCATCCTTCATAATGATAAAAATAGGGGCATGAGACAGACAGGAAAGATGAACAGAGAAAACTTGGAAAGGCTTGGCAGGGCAGGGGGAGGGAAGATATCCAGATGTTTTGGAGTTCGGCTTCCAGATGTCCATTGCCAACATGATCAGGGATGCTAGGAGTGAAGTCCAAAACATCTGGAGAACTGCTTTCTGCACACCCTGTTCTTGCAGTTGGGAAGATGGGGTCACTGCTCCTCCCGACGATATGGAAAACCCAAAGGAATGACACAAAGCGATCCTATTGTGCTGATTGCCAAATCGCTGATAATAGTGGGGACTGTCAGTTGTCCAAGTTGCCACATTAACCTGAGAGAGGGCAGCTCCTGACAGTGATGGGGCAAGACAGTTTACAAATATTATTGCTATCAACTGCTGCGGGATTCACTCTGTAAAATTCTTCATCAAGTTATGAGATGGCACAATGTGGATGAGAAGTCCTGCCCCAGGGTAACATGCTTACGATTCAGTTTTCCAAACTCTGCAATCAAACAGTATCTGCATGTTGACCGCTTAACAACGATGGAGTGGTGAGAGCGAGCGAGCCGTGTGGCGTACTGGTTAAGAGCATGGGACTGGGATTCAGGCAAGTCGAGTCCCACTTGGTTCGGTGCCCACACGACCAGTCCTGAACGCACAAGCCCCCATCTTGTCAGGAAGGGCTCACTGCTGCCCCAGGAGGTGAACCGTGGAACTGCAGTCTCTCAGGGCAGCATCCGTCCAGAGCTGCCCCATGCAGGCTGCCCGTTGGCTCATTCCGGGCCGGAAAGCATGTAAGAAAGTCGAGCTGAGCATTGCTCCAGCAACAAGGTCTGCGCAAGCACTGGCCTGCTGCACAGTTCTGGCCTTGAGCCCTGGCTTGCCTTCGTGTCTTGATTCTTTCTGGGCCTCACTCCCAGTTCTGGGCTCCTGACCCTCCACTGCAGCCCAGCCCGGCCACATCTATGGAGCCACATAATCCATCCATTTTTAATGGAATGCATTATGGAATGATCCCCTCTTGGGGTGGAAGGTCTTTCCAACTTGCCCTACCCTCGGTGGCAGAAGCCGGAGCCTGGACCTGCGATGTTCTGCAAGCAAAGCGTATTTTTTGCCACGCAACTGTGCTGCACACAGGAGAGCCCAGCCACGCTCCCTGTGTTCTAGGTGCTGTTCCCTCCCCGGCACTGGCCAGGAGCTCCGAACTGGTCCTTTGCCACGCGGCAGGCTTGGGCTGCGGTGCAGGTCGAATTCTGCAACCTGGGATGGTGAGGGATGCCCCTCACCTTTCGCATCCCTCAGCGAAAGGAGTCTTTAGCACAACTGCTCTCCTCCACGAGACAAGGTTAGCTGTCCTCGGGGAGGAGAAAAACATCATCCATCTTCCCTCTAACACTGGAAATGGGTAAATGCTTCAGGGCTTTATACTTTCTAATATCCATTCCTTTTGGAAGGCAGAGAGACACGCTCCAGATATAATGGAGTGCCCATGCGCAGCCCTCAAGCAAGAGAGTTGCGCCCGAGCTTCAGTGCCTCTTTGGGACCACGCCGTCGGGAGCCCGGGGTGGAGAAGACGAAGGATGGGGAGGGACCAAGGACTCTGCTCTGCAGAACGGCTGTCCAGGGATCAAACGGCCCATTTCTCCTTAGCTGGCTCACCATGTCCCTTGTCCTCATCCTGTCCAGTGACTCCTGGCCTGGAGGTCCTCTCACTCTGACCCAGCTCTGCCTGCCCATCTGTCCTGCACGTGGTCTTTGCCTCTGAGATGTGCACTGCAGCACATCAATGCGTATCAGATCCAACACAGATGGGTGGATCCTTTCAGACGTGAGGTCCTGCTTGTCCTGCAGAGCAGCACCTGGGAACATGCGCATTGGTGATGGCTGTGATGCTGCTGTGACCCACCTTAGATCAGCCTGTGGGTCCAGACCCACCAGTTGCAGACCAATCAGTGGCTGTCATCAGAAGAGGAGCTCCAACCTGGCATGGACACCCAAAGTACGTTCGTGGAAGGGCTCTGCGAGGGCAGCTAGACCCTCCATTCCCTCCACTTGCATTGGGTTGATGTATCCTCTGGTCTGCAGCTCGGCCTACTGCCCAGGTGAGAAACCGCTGGACCTCCAGACGTCTGAGCCTATGGCACCTGTTTGCCCTAGCCAGCACCACCGGTGGCGAGGGACGAATGGTGCTCCTGAGAAACGTCGGCCTTCCTGCTGAGCACCATCCTCACCTGGACTGCTGCTCCTCTCAGGGGAAAGACAAACTGAAGTACGCAACATACGACACAATTCAGCAACGGGATTCCAGACCGCAAGACGTGGCGCTGGCCACTGGCTGGCCAGACACAAAGAGGCAGATTCAACGGGGTCACGCAGAAGCGTCCAAGGCACATTGTGTGATGCTTCCACTCTTCTCAACAGGATCTCCTCCTTTTTATTATTATTAATTATATTTCTATACCACCCATAGCTGAAGCTCTCTGGGTGGTTCACAACATGGAAGTCTCCCATCCAGATTCCAACCGGGCCTGAGCC